CCAAAGGAAGTCATCAGTTCTCCTACCATAAAACCATGTGCTGCCATTTCCAGCTCTAAGAATGCTTTTGAATTTTTGGTCAAATTCTGACCTGGTATTAGTTTTTTATAGTTGCTGTAACAAATTACCACAAATTTAGTGGCTTAAAAAAAGAAGATAAATTTATTATCGTACAGTTCTGTAGAAGTCTGACACGGGTCTCACGAGGCTAAAGTCAAGGTGTCGGTGGGGGCTCTACGGGAGGATCTGGCTGGCCTTTTCCAGCTTCTAGACACCAGCTGCATTGGCTCCTGGCCCGTTCCTCCGTCTTCAAAGCCAGCAACATCGCATCTCTTGGCCATTCTTCCATAGTCACATCTCCCTCCTCCACTTGTAAGGACCACTGTGATTATATTTGGCCTACCTGGAGAATCCAGATAATCTCCCCCTTTTAGCGATTAGCTACTTTAATACCACCTGTCACCTTAATTCCCCTCTGCCGTATAACCTAACATTGTCACAGTTTCTGGCGATTAGGACGTGGACACCTTGGAGGGGCCATTATTCTGCCTACCACAGACTTTCCAGTCATGTTATACTATTATCACAAGCTTGCCCATGGCAGATTTTTAAATCAATGCCTAAAACTGAAAATCGTTTTCCTAGTTCATAAAGACTGTATTTTTACAAAAAAATGTAAAACCAATGGAATGCTCCATTGTTTCAACTTCCTCACTTTCTTCTGTAGGTCAGCACTCTGTGTGATGCTAGTCATTCAGTGGTACTTCTCACCCTGCTACACCCTACTTGAACTGAGTGATATATACTTTTAAAAACTTTTGTGTCTTTTTTTTCACTTTATTGTTCACTAAAGTACTAATATCCTTTGGATCCTTCATCCTAGAGAGTGATAATTTGTTTCATTACTTTTTATCCATCTTATATGTTTGGCCAGAAGAAATTTACCATTGTCTTCTAAATTTACCATCATCTTCTATAAATATTGTGTAGCATGTATGAAAAGCATCCTTACGCTTCACTGAATATTGGATGCTTATCTTTTAAAGAACATCACACCAATGTTCTTAATTGGCATTTACCTGTAATTGCTTAATGCCAACAATGGTTGGCTATTAATTCAACCTTTTTACACTTCTAGTAATTGCATGTGAGTTGTGTACAGGCGATGTTTTATGCTCTTTTAATTGAGAACCTAAGTGTTCTCTCTTTCCAGGTCTAAGCATGGCTCCTCCTGCGTGAGACATTGGCTAAGTGTCCATCCCAGTGCAGGCACACTGCAGGCAGTCATTAAATGACAGATTATAATTGATGTAGTAGTTCATGGCCTGCCCTCTTCCCCCCGCCTTTCTCTCCATGCCTTCTGCCCACAAACGCCTCACTGGACTCCTTGCTGGTCTCTAACTACCCCCTGCCCTGGCTTTGAGTTCATCTTGTCCCTCTTACCTAAAGGGAACCTCGTCTTTTGTGATGAACTGGATTCTTGACATGGAGATGAGAGCTGGATGCCAAGGCAGGAGCTTGGGCTGTGAAGCCAGAGGCAGCTGCAGCATCAGCATGCCCTGGGAGCTGGTTAGAAATGCAGATTCTCACCCCAGCACCACTGAATTGCAATAAGAGCCCCCGGTGATCTGCACACACCTGCAGAAGAAAGTTTGAGAGGCTCTGGCTTAGAGACTTTGTCACTCAACCTCACCACTTGTATCAGTCAGCTCGGGCTGCCATAACCAAGTACCAGAGTGGGTGGCTCAAAGAATAGAAATTTATTTTCCCACAGCTCTGGAGGCCAGAAGTCCAAGATCCAGGTGCTGGCAGGTTTGGTTCTCCTGAGAGAGATCTTCTCGCTGCCTCTTCACGAGGTCATCCCTCTGTGCGTGTGCACCCCTGGGGTCGTCCTGTGTGTTCAAATTCCCTCTTCTTATGAAGACACCAGTCAGATTGGATTAGGACCCACCCTAACGGCGTCATTTTAACTTAATCAGCTCTTTTAAGACCCTGTCTCCAGATACAGTTACATTCGGAGGTACTGGGGGTTAGGGCTTCAACAGAGAAATTTTATGGGGGACACAATTCAGTCCACAACACAGCTTTAAAGAAGAAGATACTGAGGTTCAGAGAAGTATGTGATGGTCCAAAATCACACCACAGAAATTTAGGGTTCAGCTTTGCTGCCACTACTTCTGGGAACTTGGATAAATGCCATAACCTCCCTGGGCCTTAGATTCCTTTTTTGTGAAATGGGGACAATAGAAGACGCTCCTTCACAAGGTCGTGAGGATTCTGTGAGATTTGGACAGGAAATGCAGATTACCACACTGACCCTGCTGTGGCCGCCTGACCCTCCTCTGCCTCTCCCCTTTGCCTGCTATCAAAATCCACTCTTATTTACCGCCAGCCAGAATGCCCGATTATTTTCCCCAGGTGATTTGCAGTTTAATAGCTAGAAAAACTGTGGGTGTAAAATGGTGGCGGTGGAATTTCAGGCATCAGCTAGCAGGTGCACAGGCTCCTTCCTGGAAGCCCAGCCCGTGGCAGGCACTAAGAGGAACCCCACTGACACGCCTTCCGCCCCGGTGCCCTGGGGTTCTCACTTCTAAATAATAGGCTGTGCACAATTTGAATTCATTTCACTCTAAATTGCCCAGCCTGCAACCAGGGATGCAAGGCGGAGTCCTGCAAATCAATTCGGCTGTGCAAATAAGCCGGGCCTGCTAACCTGGGGGCGCTTAGAGACGAGGCCCAGCTTCAGCGTATTAAGGCAATGATTGCAATTTGCCTTCTGGGGTCAGACTGGTTGTGAATACAAAATTGTTTTCAAATGTTTCGTTTGTTTAGATTTACATAGCATGCATTCTGTTAAGATCCACTAGCTGCAAAGTGCTTGGCTAAGGCGGGAGCAGGAAGGTGGAGAACGTGCCTCCTTCCCGTGCTCAGAGGGGCTCGGACCTAGCAATGTGGCCTAATAAGTCCGGGTTCAAGTTGGAAAGGGGAGGGGCAGGTCAGAACATTGCTGGTTTGGGACAGAGGGATTTCCTTTCTCTTATCCATCGTTTATCCATCTGGCCTTTTTTTGGAGGGGCTGCTTTAGTCCTGCCGCTATGGCATGGTTAATGGGCTTCCCCTCCATGTCTGGGGTCAGGATAGCAGGTCAGAGGGAAGCAGCTTCTTTTAATCTGGGCCTGGCCTGGCGTTGGTGGTAAGGTATCTTCCCCGGGTCTGAGGCAGATTCTCGTGTGGTCACGTTGTCCAGTTTGTGGATTTCCCAGCCCCTCTGCTCCCCTCTGGCTTTGACTATGTCAGCATCCTCTCTTGCCTCCCAGAATGCAGGGTCCAAAGAGAGAACAGAGGTCACTCCCTGAGTCACCTGGGGCAAAGTGTAGGTGGTCTCCCCCTCTGCCTCCCATCCATCCCCAGCCCACCTGTGGCCGTCGCTGTATCCGAGCTGTCTTGCAGCGCCCCCTGCTCCCTCCCTGTGGGCCACCACTCCCACATGCCGAGGGCTCTGCAGGCCCCTTGTCATGGGATCCCCTGCTACACAGGATCTGCTAAGCTCATTCATATGAAGGAGTGAGTAATTAATACAATTGCTCCTTTCTGGAGTCTTTGCATTTTGACAAGACGCCAATGCTTTAATAAAAAATAAAAGGAAGAAAGAAAGAAATGTGAGAAGTAGAATGATAGACCCCTAGTCTCTGCTGGAGGGTCTTCCTCATGCCCACCAGGCACACGCCAGCCTCCTCACATGGATCAAAGGCTGAAGGCCATGGGCCTGTTTGCCTCCCTGTCAGCAGCCCTGGTGGGGCGGGCAGCTGCAAGCCAAGATTCCTGCCACCCATTAGAGAAGCCTGTCCACTGTGAACGCGGACGTCAGCAGAATTGAACAGTGGATCAAAAACTGGAACAAATCGCTTTAATTAGCTAAGACCAAAGCCTAATTCAAATAGTATTTCTTCACTGGACCATGAACCAACTTCATGATCAGTTGACCAGTTTAACTCAGGATTGAACTGAGAAGGGACGTACTGACCATCCAGCTAGCTGACGCCTCCCATGTCATAGGTGAGGACGCTGAGGCCGAGAGTGTGGCCAAGGTCACAGGGCACCTCAGTGGCCCAGATATGACTCTTTACTCAGATAACCTCTTACTGTCTCCAGTATTCCATGTGCCCTCTTGACTCAGGACCTCAAGAGAGAGTACAAGTTATGTTATATATTGTGTGTTTTTGAATCGAGTTCCTCTTAGACTAAGAATTGGTAACCCAAATGAGAGATGGATGGCTAGGTGGGAATTCCCGCAGCCTTCCATTCCTCCCACAGGCCTAGAAAATCAAAGAGAAACCTTTACAATTTATTGTGACTCGATTTATGTTATGATTACTATTGTCATCATTGTTATTATTTGCCCCAATTAACCTACTCATTTATGATTTACCTTCCAAGGTTATACAACATTCATCTAAATCAGTGGTTCTTAACTGGGGGAGACATTTGCCCCCAGGGGACATTGGCAGTATCTGGAGACATTTTTGGTTGTCACACCTTGGGAGGGCGGCATGGTGTGTGCTACCGGCATCTATTAAAGAGAGGCCATTGATACTGCTAAACGATGCATAGGACAGCCCCTCACAACAAAGAATTATCTGGCCCCAAATGTCAGTAGTGTCAAGATTGAGAAACCCAGATCTAAATCAACACAAAGGGAAAAAACCTCCTGCAAATCCTGCCACCTCAACAATGAAACTTCACTTTTCTGTGTTCCTCCCAGCCTCTGCCCCACCATGTCTACTTAAATTCCCATAGTTTCTATAATCATGGCAGGAATACGATTTACATTCTACTTTTTTTTCACTTAATATTGCATCGTGCGCTTTTGTCGATCTTGCCTGGTCTTCACAATTACCGTTTGTGATGGATGTAATGTGGTCCTCCAGGCAGGTTGATCCCCTGTATTTGACCTGACTGGCCCAAGTTTCTCAATGGGGATGGTTACTGAGAGACTTGCCAAGTGGGCTGCACGGGGTGGGGTGGCTGTGCGGGCCCTGCTGTGGCCAGCCTTCTCCTCTACTTCGGCCCAGGCTATTGCCATCATAGTCTTCATCATCAAAAGGCCTTTATGAAGCGCCTTGGTGAATATATCCCAGCACCGGGGGATCTTCTGCAGAGATCTTCCCACCAGCCCCTGACATCTGGGGCATGTCGGCTCGGACAGACAGCATATATGTCAGCCAACCACGAAGGCATCCGAAGACCGGGCTGTAGGCCCCAGGCAGAGGGTGCAAAACCAAATTCTTAGGCGATGTTTATGACAAGAGTAAGTGCATCTGGGAATGCCAGAGAGGCTGGATTCTCAACGGGAGCTAGGGACTGAATTCCCTCCTCCAGCTTGCTGTGGGCTTCTTGAAGGACATAGGATTTTAGAAGCTACAGGAGGGAGGGAGGAATGGAGGGGAACAGCTTGACAGGCCAAGGACTTGGGGTCAAGTGCTCCAGGCTCAAGGGTACAAGTGCACAGCCTGGGGGGAAACTAGATGCTACCGGAGGGGCTCCTCCTGAGACCTTCCCACCACCCTCTCGTCTCACCTCTGTGCCCCTTTCTCTTCCCCCTGCAGGTGTTCCATGAGCAGGGCATCCTCTTTGGCTACCGACATCCACAGAGTTCCGCCACTGCCTGTGTCCTCAGCCTTTTCCAAATGACCAATGAGACTCTCAACATCTGGACTCACTTGCTGCCTTTCTGGTACCTTCCAGGCCCCTTGACTGGCCTTCTCCTTGAGGAGCTCTGGGAACTGGGGCTTCTTTGAAACACAGCTGGGTTGGGAGGCTGAGATTCTGTGCTGGGATTTTGGGGACTCCCCCATGGTGCTGGGTGTGGAGCTGGGGTGAGCTTTAGGGCATGGATTGTGGTAGGATTCGAGGGGCTCCCGGTGGCTCCCCAGTCTTTCCCTGCTCTTCTGCTCCAGGGCCTGACTTGATCTTATCCCCTTCAGTCTTGGAGGCTTTCTGGGTCTTCCAGAAGCCCTGGTTAAAATGTCAGGAGCTTGAGCAAGTCACTTAACCTCTCTGAGCTTCACATTTTCCCATCTGCGAAGCAGAGCGACAGTCTGCACCTTCCCCGGGGGTGCCGTGAGGATTATGGGAGACGACATTGGAAAAAGCCTCAGGCACAGGGCTGTGGGTGCCCCGTAATCATTCTGGAACCACAGCAGCTGTGAGGCACTTAGTCAGGCAGCACTGTAATGAGCAGCTAAGAGCAAATCTCTGGGGAGCCGATACGCAGAAATGGGAGTAGCCAGGAAGGTGGGGGCCGAACACCAACTTCACACACTTCATGCAGGTGCATAACGAGGGGAGAGAGGAGAGTGGTGACAGGGTCAGAACACCGAATCATAGTATGTCAGGGCTTGGAAGGACCTCAGAGGTCATGCAGGCCACTGTCGCACTGAGACCACCAGTGGCTGACATTGATGTGGCCCAGAGAAGGGGGTAGCTTGCATACATACACATACACATGTCAAGTTCCGGCACAGACTAGCCTCTGGACACCCGCTCTCAGACATGTCAAGAAGTCAAGATAGTAGGAGGGACCCCAGGGTGTCAGAGCAGAGATGGGCCCGAGGAAGGCAGCCTGCTTGATCAGAAGTCAGAAGGCAGGCCCAGGGCCACAATGCAGGGGAAGGCTGTTTGGTGCCAGGACTCTCCCCGGGGAGAGGAGGGAGAGCTTAGGCTTGGGGTGGAATAGGGCCGTCTGTAAAGAATTCCTGGGGCCTCTAGACTGGTCAGAGTGGCAGCAAGATCCTGCTCCAGAAGGCCGTTGGTCGTTTTAAATTTAAGTAAACCTAAGAAAACTTAAGTAAAAAGTCTAAATGCTGATAAATCATAACTTGCAGAAGGGAATAGAGTCAGTGTCTGCCCATGGCCCCTCTGCTCCTGCCTGGAGTCGCCAGATGACCTGTTTCTTGTCGGTCCTCCCAGAGCTCTTCTAGCGACGTGGGCATCCGTGACGTGTGAGCACCCAGCCCCCAGCTCCTTCCTCTCCCCGCTCTTCCCTTGCTCATTTCCCTCGGAGATCTCTGTCTGACCCACACACCTCTCAGGCTTTTGAACAGCTGCGTGGTGTTCTGTTTTGTGGATGATTTAGGCTGTTTTAAGGTTTGTGCCTCTACAAAGAGTGCTGGCCTGACCATCCTTGTTTGTGGGTCTCGAGCTCCTGTGCACGGATCCCTGGGGTGACTTCTTGGCTATTTTGTAGCTGAGCCACACTGGCTGAGGTGCCCCACTGCGTACGACACCCCTACACTGCCAGGACCCAAGAGATGATCCCATTGAGCAACACACAGTAGCTGGAAGGTCTTGGGAGAGCCTGGAGTGAGATGCCCTAAGGAACTGGGACTGGGGAATGATCTTGAGACGATGAAAGGATATATTTTGAGGGCTGGCCGGGTGGCTTAGCGGTTAAGTGCGTGTGCTCCGCTACTGGTGGCCCGGGTTTGGATCCCGGGCGCACACCGACGCACGACTTCTCCGGCTATGCTGAGGCCGTGTCCCACAGCAACTAGAAGGATGTGCAACTATGACATACAACTATCTACTGGGGCTTTGGGGAAGAAAAAAAGGAGGAAGATTGGCAATAGATGTTAGCTTAGAGCCGGTCTTCCTCAGCAAAAAGAGGAGGATTAGCTTGGATGTTAGCTCAGGGCTGACTTCCCTCACAAAAAAAAAAAAAAGGATATATTTTGAGAAAGGGCGAATAGGGTAAGTTTTATTTCTGCTGGGACAGGAGGAAAAAGATCACGGGGTAGCCAGAGGATTTAGTGACCCTCCTGGGTTCCTGTGTGAAGAGCTTTGTCGTCTCCTGCCCTGGGAGAGTTAGTGGGAACAGGCGCCGGCTTTCTAGGAGCGGTTGGTGGAAGTGGGCAGCTCTGCAGGCAGGACCCCCCTGCGTGGGTTATCGGTGAGGCGGGTCTGAGGCAGAACTGTGGGGTATCTGTAGAGATGGAGCCCCAAGAGCTAGGCTCAGCGTGGGACGAGGCCACTCAGAAAAGTGATTGTGATGTTAGTGGAGGAGGAAGGAGGAGAAGGTCCTGTTGTCTTCTAGACTTTCAAGGCCCTACCTGGGGGACTGCTTCTGTTTGAGGAGCCTGCCTGCAAGGGGGACATAGACAAACCACAGGATGGTGACAAGGCCAAATGTGGATCCTATGAGGAATGGTTGGATGCACTGGGGTTGTTGAATGTAAAGTTCAAAGAGGTGGGGAGGAGTTATGAAGACCGCCTTAAGATACGTGGTTTTGATGGTCCTGATGGGGAGACCTAAGGCTAATCAAATGGAGATAGATTCCCGGAAGAGAGATGTCAGCTCAGCGAAGAACTTTCCAACACTCGGAGCTGCCTTGGGAGGTGGTGAGCTCCTCATCCCTGGAAGCATTCAAGCTGAGGTTGGCGAATCACTTGGGCAAGATGCTGTAAGAGAGATTCTGTCACCACGAGTGGGGGAGGGACCTGGACTAGATAAACCCAAAGGTTCTCTTCTTGCCCCTCCTGCTCATTTCCAACCGAAAAAGGACCCTACTCACCCTGCCTCCCTCACGGCGTTTACCAAAGTGAGATACACAGGGATCAGTTATCCCCAGGGGAATGGAAGGCAGGAGATAGTCAGGCGAGGAGTATAAGAGGAGGCCCAGCCGTGGAAGTCGAGCAGGCCATGCTGTGTTCCAGGTTCTTCATGTGGAGGTTTGTGACTGTGCTGTATGTGACAGACATCCAGAATGACAGCTACTCCTGGCCTCTGCTTGTGTACATGGGCACCAGCTGTGTGTACCCCCTTGCCTCTAGCTGTGCACACACCTTCAGCTCCATGTCCAAGAACGCCCGGCACATCTGCTACTTCCTGGACTACGGCGCTGTCAACCTCTTTGGCCTGGGTACGTGGGGCCCTGCCTCTCCCTCCCTCCCTGTCACTGGGCTCCTTCCCCTTTCCCTGGCAGCTGGGGTCACCATTAAGCTTTGATGGGCTTGCAGAAGAGTCATGGGAATGCCAGTGCCTGTCCAGGTTCCGGATGAGTGTTTTGTAAGAAACTTCTCCAGAGGTGTGCTGGCACATGTGTAACAGCTGCTTCTCTGGGGACATCTGTGGAGTTTGATGATTTGTGTGGTGTAAATACTCCCACCACAGCCCACTTCAAGCCACCAACAGGACATCACTGAACACGGCGGGGGGAGAGAGACGTAGCACACCATTACATAGTAATTCCTCTATACAGATACGGTAATTGAGTATTTATTACTTTTGTTAATATGATTTATTTAATTGTAAGTTTGTCATTTAATTTTTAATGATGGCCGTGTTTAACAGTTGGCTCACAAGTTCTCTGACACTGTAACAGGGTGAGCCAACTCCACACAGCCGTGTTGCCCTGTTGGGCCTGGCAGAGAAGAGGGGTGGGGTCCCGAACCCCATTTGTCGAGAGGCTTAGGGGAGTTGGAGATTGGCTCACAGTGCCCGGGAATAGTGTGGGGAAACCAAAGCTCGTGAGGTTGGGTGTTGATTGACACTCCCACCTCCTCGTGTTTTCCTTTAACTCTGATGCCCCCTCCTTCCGTCTCCTCTCCTCTCCTCTCCCCCAGTGGTGGGCGTCCATCTCTCCTCACGTCCTAGTTCTAGCCTCTTCTCCCTCCTGATCCTGCTCCAGGTGTGAAAGCAGCGTCATTGTCCTCCCTTGCCCAAGAAGGTGTCTATGAGGAGCCCACCTCCATCCTATTTCTTCCCCTCTCTTCCTTCACAAGTTACACACACACACAAACACGTACAGACATACACACACATACACATGCACACAGTACACCTGTACACACACATACACGCACATATACACATACACACATACGTACACATATATACACATGCACCTACACACATATATACACACGTACACAGAGTCTTTACTGCCTCACCTCCCGCTCCTCAGTGCTCTGCTGCCCAGTCCCCACTGTTCACTAAAACTGTGGTTGCTGAGGCCCTGCCTCCTCCGGACTCCCAGAGTCCATGCAGTCTTCGTGGGCTCTCTCTCAGGCCTTTGACGGGGCCCCTCTGTGCTCCTCAAACCCGCTCCCTTCCTCTGGCCTCTGTTGCATCACTGCCTCTGGTTCCCCTCCTACCGTCCATGTTCTCATGCTCTGTCACTGGTTCCCCTTCCTCTGCTCTCCTCCATAGGTGGGTGAGCTCAGAATCAGTCCTTGGGCCTCTGATTTCACATGGTCCAGCTCCCTGGGTGATCACCATCCCCTAACACCCAGGGACGAGGCACTCCTCACCCCCCTCTCTAGTTTAAACTGCCCACCTGAAGTGCGTGTCACGTAGAGCCCTGTGACTGGGACTGGCCCTGTCCTCCCTGCCCCTGCCCCTTGCGTTTATTCTCATCAAGTTAGAAATCTGTCACTATTCCTCAAATTCCCCTCCCTCTCGCTCCTCCTCACCCATCCCACTTCCACCATCCTCTGGAATCAGTAGCAAGTTCAGCTGAGTCTCTCGTGCATCTTCTTCACTTGGTTCTGCCCCATTGGCTTGGCTCAGACCCTCACGCTAGCACTTCCAGCCAGCTGCCCCGGGGAGGTTTCTACAACACCTTCGGACCACGGCACCCCTCGCACTTAAAACCTTTCAGGTTCCCAGTTGCCTGGGCTGAAGTCCAAGCTCCTTAGCCCTACACCTCCTGTAGCCCTCAGTCACCTCCCCCAGGCTCATTTGTGATAAGAGCAAGCCTTCTGGAGTGATCACTACGTGGCAGGCTCTGTGCTGAGCACCTGACACACATCATGAGGGGTGGCATAATGCTGTGCTTAGTGGCCTGACTGTCACCACCCCCCAATAGTTATATGCTCTTGGGCAAGTTTCTTAACCTCTTCAAGCCTCAATTCTCTCATCTACAAAATTGGCATAATATCTTCCTTGTAGGCTGTTATGAAGATTAAACGAGTTTAGTAAGTGAAGCATGTCAGACAGCGCCTGGCACTTAGTAAGCATCGAGGGTGTCCATTACCACGATCATCCTGTTAGCCCTGACGTCAGTTCCCTGAGGTAGGGACTATCGTTATGCCCCCGCTGTAGGTGAGAATGATGAGCCACAGTGAAGGTGCATTACCAGGTCACACAGCTTGTAAATGGCAGACCCAGGACCCCAGGAGCCTCAGGGGCCCTGCCTGTGGCTTCCTCCACACCCCCAGGCTGGACCCACCTCCATGGAACTCTGGCCCCCAGCCCTGTCAGTGATTCCTTCATTTCTGCTCCTCACTGGGAACAGCTCCCTAAGGACCAACGTGTCTTGCACATTTGGTTTTCCAGCCCGTAGCGCAGTGCCTGACGTGGGGGTGCTCAGGAAACATGGAAGGAAGGTCTAATCAGTTGAGAGAGCCCATGGATTCCACCTGGGACCCCCAGCTTCGTTGTCTGCAGCCACCCCTCCTCCCCTTTCTCGCTCCTCCATCCCTGTGGAAACCCTCAGTCCCTGGAGGGGGGCATTTGCTCCAGCTTCCTCCCTGACTTCCAGCTGCCCCCTCCCTCTAGGCTGGCCTAGGCACTTTCACTAGGTTTGGGTCATTCTAATCCCCCACTCAAAAACCTGGGGGGTCCCTATCACACGAAGGAGGAAGTTCACTTTCCCTGGTCTGGCATCCAGAGCTGTCTCCCGCTCCTGCTCCCTGGAAAGCCTCCCTGCCCTCAGGCACCTGTCAGAGTCCCCCATCTTCCAAGGATGTTTCCAACATCAGCCCCTTGCTGGATGCCCGCCTCTCCTGAACGCCCACCTCACACTGGAACCTGCCTAGAGGCGCTGATCCGTTTTGCTTCCCACTGTAGTTTTTGGCAGGGTCTGAGGCTCCCTTGCTCTCGTATTGCCCATGGAGCTTGGCACACACCTTGGCCTCGGTCAATATACATAGGGCGAATGCGTTCTGATCCAGATGGGAACCTCCTCATAGTATCGGGCTGAGAGAAGAGACTGTCTGCCCGCTGGAATCTCACAGGCAGCCTGCTGGCGTGGTGAGCACTGTACCAAGAGGCAGTGATTCTTGGCCCTTTCTGCCTATGTGACCCTAGGAACGTAATGTCACTTGGCTTCACTAGACTCCATCTGTTGAATGGATCAGAGGCAGAGGTTGGACCTGCGTGGCCTGAGGCCTATTTCAGCCTTGAGCTAGGATTCCAAGGTTCGCTATGTCTTTGGAATAACAGGTGACCTTAGGCCTGATCCCTCAGGCCCTGGGCTGACAGGCCTGTGGCTGCCTCTCCCAGAAGGACCTCAGCAGATGAGGGTGCCTGGAGAGGCCATCTGGTCCAGGCTGCTGGACACACTTGGCCCCTTTGAAAAGGATAGTAATCTCCCCTGCTCTCAAATAAAAGCTTCAGCAGACAGGTCTCTAGAACGTCCTTAGGTAACCCTTCTCTCACAAACCCCAAAACCTAAAACAAAACAAGACACCGAGGCCAGCCTCTTACGCGCAGCCTCTCAGCTGGCCGGGCCCCCAGCCCACTGATGTGATACGCCTCACCTCGGCAAGGGCCCTCCCTCCCCCCAACATTGATCTGTCCACTAGGAGCACCCATGTCGTTGGGCAGGTGAGATGTGCATACTCAGAGCAAAGCTGAGCACACCGGGGCTATCATGGGCCATAGCACATGGTTAAAAGCAGGGACTGTTGCTGAACTGCTTTTGTTTGAAGCTTGGCTTTGCTGCTTTCGAACAGTGTGCCCCCAGGTGAGTTACTAAACCTCTCTGTGCCTCTGTTTCCTCATCTGTAAAATGAGGATAAGTGCAGGATTTATGTCAGAGGATGGTTGTAAAGATGCTGTGAGTTAACATGTGTAAAGCCCTTGGAGCAAGGCTGAGCTCATGGTAATCTCAGGATAGGATTTGGGTAGGCAGAGAAGGGAGAGGAGGACATTGGGGGAGGGGTGATGATGGCCTAAGCAAGGCAGGAGTGGCAGGACTACTCATGGTCTGTGGGGATGATGAGGGCTCAGCCAGATGCTGGGTTGATCCTCCCAAGGAGTCCAGACAGTGCTGCGTCCTGGCTTCTTGCTCACAGCTGCTTCTCCTTCCCCAGGCTCAGCCATCGCCTACTCTGCCTATACGTTCCCCGACGCGCTGGTGCGCACCACCTTCCACGACTACTACGTGACCCTGGCTGTGCTGAACACCATCATCAGCACCGGCCTCTCCTGCTACTCCAGGTACCTGGCTGCTCTGTCCCAGGTGGCACGGGGAGGGGGCCGAGCTTGTAGCCCTATGGACTCTTGGAGGGGACAGCGGATGAGGCGGGCTCAGCGGAAAGGGCGTTTGGGGGCCTGGGACTCAGTTCCAGATGGACTTCCTGTGGCCGGGCAGGACCAGCTTCACGGGCACACAGCCTCTGCAGTCGCTCGGGGCCCTGCCATCAGGAGGGCTGCACACTTGGTTTAATGCTCTGCTGTTGCTGTCTTGAAATTCTTAATGATTTTTGAACAAGGGGGTCCCATACTTTCATTTTGCACTGGGCCCTACAAATTATGTAGCTGGTCCTGTTGCTGGACAAGTCACTTATCCTCCTTGAACCTCAGTTTGCTTATGTATAAAATGGGTCCAACACATCTACCTTGTGAGATGGATGTGAGGATTACAGGTAACGTACACAGAACACCTGGCACGTAGCTGGCCCTGAGCAGGTGCCCCATAAGTGAGCAGTCTGCTCCAGTGACTGAGTGGGCCCGCCTCTAGATGTATGTGATGAGTGACAGAGGATATTCAGATGTCTGACACATCCCCAGGGGAAGCCCCATGGCCATGAGTCACACTGGCTCTAACTCCATTTTTTTTTTCCTTTTCACTCAAGAAAGCTCATTGGAGTGTTGGTGCAAGAGACATTGTTTTAAGGATAACTACTCTGGTTTAATCAGCTCTTTGTAAAAGTGAACTGCCCAAACGCTCCAGTTCCCTAAATTACTTAGGAAACCTCTCACATGGTGGTGTCAGGGCGACAGCCCGGTCTAGATGGTGCCAGGACGCTGGGTGCGTCCTGGGCTGGGGCCTTCAGTGGGTTAGGAAAAGCACCAAGGCAGCCTGGCAGGTCACACCTGACCTTCCATCCCCCCGCCTGCAATTCCTGTGAGCCAGTTTGCCGTCTCCCTATTAGACAGCAGCAGGCCTCGAAGAATTATTATTACCTGCAGCCGTCCAGCCTCCCCTTCCCAGGAGAGGGAGAGGTATGCTTCTGTAACTTCTCTGCAGTGATTTTGGGTCCAGCTTTCTTTGGGTAACACTTAGGTTTTGTGGGATCAAGAGATAGGCAAGTTTCACAAACTTGACAAACTGGTTTTCTTTAGAAATAAAAAAAATAGATTCTTAAACAGCATCAGGAACACCTGCCCCAGCTTGCCCTCCACTTATCTGTCTGGAGACAGGTTGGAAGCGTGGAGTTGCTTTGCGTGGGAGTGAGTCTCATTTCTGGGCACAGTCTCAACTCTTGGTTTTGTGCTGCTTCATCCCATGGAAAGGCCTGGGGGTGGGAATGGGGGGTAAACTCTCTCTTCTCTCTTCCTGGACATCACAGAGCTCCCCTAAAGCTGTGAGGAGATAGGGTCTGCCCAGAGGGGTAGAAAACAGAATCAGATCTCCCCATTTCCTCAAGGACTCTGGTGATTAAAAGCTCTTTCTGAAGCGCAGCCTCCGTGCCAGGCCAGAGCTGTGAGGGCTGCACAGAGGATGGGGAGGGGAAGAGATGGGGTCTCTGCTTGGGTGAGACAAGGCATAACACACATAGGAAAGTAACAATGATGCTAAAAAACAGCCCTAGAGAGATGATGCATGCCCCGCGGGCACAGTGCTTGGATGTGTGGGCTCACAGAGGGGCCTGGTCCTCTGTGACACACCTGGATCTGGTCCTTGGACAGTCATTGTCCTGTATGGTTAGCTCCTGCAGGGCCGTGTAGCTCTGATATTTGGAAGTTAAGATCAGAGGAAGGTGAGCACTGTGGGCTGAGGGCCAGGGAAGTCTTCATGGGTGTGGAAGAAAAGGTCCCAGAGTTCATGATCTAGGATTGCTTCATCATGAGCTCCTGGTACAAATTCTTGGAACATTTGCTGCCTCTTTTTTTTTTAAGCTTCGTGAATCACCTCTAAGCCACCAGGGTAGATTGTTTTCTTCTAGCCAGGTGTCCTCCCTGATTGTTCAGATACAATGGATGGGTCTTTGGATATGGCATGCCTGTTACCTTTGGACAAACTTGTATGGCAGGGCAGGTCGGCCAGGAATCTCTTAAATGCCCATGTCTGGGGGCCTCTCTTTTATCAATGAAATGGATTATTTCTGTTTATTTATAGGACACATCTGTGGCTATTCCACATCCATCCATCCACCCATCCATCCATCCATCTCTCCATCCATCCCTCGACCCATCCATCCATCCACCCATCCACCCACCCACTCACCAATCCATCCATCCGTCCGTCCGTCTATCCGTCCATCCATCCATTCACCTACCCAAATATCTATCCATCCATTTATTCATCCATCACCACCCATCCATTTATCCATCCACCTACCCAACCATCCATCTGTCCATCCAACCAACCGCTCAACTTTGCTTAAATGCCTACCACGCTCTAGGCATCATGTTAAGATCTGGGAACACCAGGAGGAGTGAGGCACAGTCCTTGCCCTCAGAGTGCAGTCAGAGAGGCAGACTGCAGACCCCCAAAAAGCCCAGATGGAGTCATCGTTTCCTCTAAAGGCCGGGAGAAATGGCCCTCAGAGTGTGTGTAGCGTTACAGAATGTAACATTAACAAATAATGGCAATACAATATGACACCTGCTTGGATACACAGGGTGCTGAGAAGTGGCATTAGGGAGTATTGAGGGAGGTTGAATACTTTAGCTGGAGAGGAGGGAAGGGCCTTGTGGGCAGAGCGAACAGCCCGGTCAAGGGTGAAGGGGCCGGAGAGGATGGGACCGCATTGGGAGACAGCAAGGAGCTTCTGAGCTGCCAGAGCCGGCAAGGCTGCAAGTGCCTAGAGAGGGGCCCCAAAGGCGGGACCGCCTGTGCCCACTGAGGACTGGCCCTGTCTCAGGAAGGACAGTAATCTTCCTGGGAAGACAATTCCGTGGACTTGAGGGGCTTCCAGGCATGTTAGCAGCCGCTGAAGTGCGGCAGGGGGAGGCAGTGCTGGAACAGAAAGGGCGAAAGGGGGCGAACGCCATGTTCTCGGAGCCAGAGGGAGAGTGGGATGTCCCATTCCTGGGGCCTGTCTGCTTTCCTTCTCACGGGGCCTCTTTCCACGCTGGTGGCGTCCCTGCTCTTGCAAGGCCTGTCCTGTTTGTTTGCGTCTCCTGCCTCCGTGTTCAGTCTCTGAGGAGGGAGAAGGATGACTCATGTGCAGGGAGAGACTCGGGCCCTGATTAACTTCAGGAGAAGCAGGTGGAGAGGAGGGCAAGGGCCATCTGGAGGCCTGGATTTCACAGACTTGCTGTGTGGCCTCGGGCCAGTCTCAGCCCCCTCTGGGCTTCGGTGTCCACTCCTTAAGCAAGGGCATCTGAGAAGAGGTCTTCTGGGTTCCTTCTGGTTGGGGCATTCTACAGTGCCAGTGCTTCCGTGTCTTTTCCAAGATTCCTCTTCTTGCCTCCTTCCTCCCCCACGCCCACCCCTGCGTCTCCCTCCCGCTCCGTCAGTCCGTGGTATGGCCAAGAGAGAACCACCTTCTCCTTCCCTGAGCCCAGAAGGAGACCATGAACCTCAGTAGTAGTTTTTAGTTATTGACGTGCTTACCGGAACATCATGGTCTAAATGGCACTCATTACATTACATCTCATGTCCTTAAGGTAAATCTCCACATAGAGAACCATGGACTCCCTTAACTGAGTTTTAGTCCTTAGTATCATGGAATTTAGTTCAAGTGAACATGTTCCAGAAAACTGCTTTCTTGTCTAGAGCATTTGAGAGGGGAACTGAGAGAATGTGTGACCTCTGTGGCTCTAGGAGCAGGTGGGGGTGATGAAGACCTGGCCTGCCATGCCTGCCGAGCACCCACACGCCCAGGAAGGCGTCCTCGCTCGCCAGGAACGTTAGTTACATAGTGTTTGCTGCACATCACAAGTCACTGTAGGTACTTTCTTGTTCATCCATCCAAAGCATCCAACCGTTGTTTTTTTGACAAATATTTACTCAGTGAAATGCCTTTTGGTTGGTGCTGAGGGAGAGAGATGAATTCTCATCCCTGGTGGAAAGTGAACTGCTCCCTGAGAGCCAGAGCGGCATGGAGCAGCCTGGAAGGGGGTTTGGAGACAGGAGGCTCAGCAGACACTGGTTCTCAGACACATCTGGAGGTCAGAGGGCTCAGCCAGATGACAAAGTACCGCTAGGGTCAGGGCCAGCATACGGAAATGTCCATCTTCCTGCCATGTCACCCATACAACAAAATAGCCATAACCACCCCCCTCACACACAGACCTCTGCAATAGAATGATGTTTCCAAAGGCCTGCTAGTTTCAAGCACTAGTTCCAGAATTCACTTGCAAATCCTTCCAGCTTTGTTGCAGTAAGATTTATCAGGTTTTAGAATAGACTGGTATTCCATCAACCCTCTCTTGATGGAAGCTTGTCCCAAAATCCAGTCTTTCCTGCCACCCTGGTTCTAGGCAGAGGAGGCCTGACTCCCTGTAAACTGGCCCCTCAACCCTGGGGGCAGGGACTGCCATCCCAGGCTTGGAGACTTTTAGGCGTGGGGTGCTGTGGAGGATTCTGTGACTCTCGCCCCTCCAGCTCGTAATCTCTGGCTGTGGCGACACCGTGTGGCCTGATCTGGAATTGCACCTTGGTAGTGGGAGGCTCCTCTATGTGGCTGCGGGCCCTTCTGCCTTTAATTCTCTGTTGCTATCTCTTTTCTCTTCTGCTTTTTCTCCTTTTTTCCCCTGTAGACTCGGCTTGGCAGCTGGAGAGGCTGGTTCGTTTGCCCCTGGGGAAGCGCTTTATCAGGCCGGGGGAAATGTTGTCTCAAGTCGCAGGAGGTCCATGCTTTGGGGGATGGCCCTCGCCAGCCAGAGCCGGCTTTCTTCCTGTGTAAGTGGCCGCAGCAAGGGCACGCTTTAACAGCGAGCATCTATTAGCCCAGAAGTGGTAGGCGGTGGCAGCGACCGGGGAAGGAGGGAGCGGGCTTCCCGTGTTGGACAGGGTCTGCCAGGGGAGACTGAGAAGGCTGTTGAGACGGGCCTGTTCTTGGGGTTCTGTTTCCCGCCTGGGGCAGAGAGGGTGCAGGTAAGGACAGAGGCTGGGTAGTGATCTGAGGCCACGCAGTGGTGGGGGTGTGAACCTTGGGAGCCAGACAGCCCTGGGTTTCAATCCCAGCTTTGCCTCTTATTAGACAGGTCCCCTGGAACCGTCTGTACCCTCCTATTCCTATTTTCTGGTACCACATAGCTACAAGATGGGGAGGGGGAGAGAACAGATCCCCACAACACACAGTTTTTTAAAAGCTGCCATTTAGTGAGTGTTGCTCTGTGCTGCACAGTTGTAAGCACCTTGTATCATTTCATCAAATCCCTGCAACAAGCCTGTGAGGGGCGATGGTTGTTGTCCCTGTGTTACACCCCAGGAGTCTGAGGAGCACAGAGTTTATGTAACCTGCTGGGGTCACATGATCACGAAGGGCAGAGAAAGGATTCGAACCCAGAGTGTCCAGGTCAAACACTGCATGCAAAATCAAGGCACTGGACACTGCACCTGGCCTGGGGGTTGTGGTTTTCTCCAAGGCTGCGGTTCTTGTTTGGGGGGGTGATGATTTGAGGTCCCTTATTTCTCTTTCTCCTCCTTGAGCTTTTCTTCCTTCTCTACCCGATGCCCGCCGTGTGCTTCTCTGATTTACAGGCAGGGTCAGGAAAGAAGGAGAGACATGCTGGTGAACTTGAGTGAAGTGGGGGCTTGTCTTGGTGGCCAGGAGGCTTCTCGGGGCCCACAATGGCCACCTCTTACCCCGGAACAGAGATCCCCATGCTCGGCTGCCCTGAGGACTAGGCAGAACACACCTGCCAGAGGACGCTTCTGAGCTGGGTGTGGGGGATCCAGACCTGAGCAGACCTAACTCCTGCCCTTGAGGAGGGCTCCCCAACTGCCTGGGAGGCGGATGTGGGAGTCTCTGCCATGTCGCATGCCCAAGAATACGGGCAGCAGTGGGGTGTGTAGTCAGCTGACTACACTGGACAGCCTTGCCAGGGGAAATGGGCCTGGGCTGGGGGGCAGCAGACCATGTTGTGGGTAGAGAGAGGAGGTCTGCGGGCTGGGACAGGGGGTCTGGGAAGCAGAGGTGGGGAGCAGCAATGGGACACAGAACTGTCCCTTCCAGAGAGCGTGATGAAGGACAACTGTGGGGAAGACTGAGGGCTGAGTGCCTCCATTGTCCTCCAGACCACATTAGAGCATCCATCCCAGCAGCCTCAGCACCCCGGCTCTGCAACGCCCCCATGCGGGGGCCTCTGGCCTTGCCCTGCAGCCTGTGAGCACCAAGGGGGGACCCAGCCCTTCACAACACTCTGCGATATTGAAGTGGGTACCTGCCCTGCACCTGACCTTGGCGGACCAGCCTGGGCATCAGCACTCCCTCACCTGGGCCCCAGTTCAGGGCTGTGGTTTGGTGTGGAGATTCTCCCTGCCCCTCCCGTGTCCTCCCTGCCATCGGTGCTGCCCCGCTCCCCATACCCTCAGCTGCTGCTGCCTCCCCATGCTGGGCCCAGCCCAGCTGAGGCCCCATCATGTTCTGTCCCGGACGACCTGCCTGACTTTGACAGTCAGACCACTCGTTTTGATGTTGGCTTCATCTATCTTTGGGTTGGAGGCAGCTGGGGGTGGTGATGGAGGAAAGAAGCAAAGACCACGTTTAGTCAGTTTCCCTGGGGCAGTATCCCTGTGTGTGGTATTAAATATTCTGGAGAGCTCTCAAAGTGATTAAACACCTGAGTGAACCCAGGCCTTCTGCACAGTGATCACCCAGGCGGCTCTGACTACTAAGACATCTCAACCTTTACAGATGCGCTCGCCCAGGAGCCTGTGCCCCTGCGGCCGCCTGTGCCCCACACGTCCCCTGTCCTGGTGGCTCCTGGACTCCAAAGGCTCTTGGGCAGTTGGATAAGTGGGCCCTTGAAGGGCTTCTTCGGCCCATGCTCCTCCTGGCCTCATATGGAAACCTCTGCTCATCATGGTGCGGTGCCAGGAGATGGTTTCCCCTGAGATCTTTTCACGTCTGGGGTTGGCTCCCTGCCATTGGGGTGGCAGAAATGGAAAAGGCTGGTGGAGAAGCTGCTGCCACAGGAGGAGGTTGTGCAGCAACGCTTGCCTCCTGCTGACTGCTTGCTCTGGGCTATTTTTAGTGTGTGTGTGTCTGTGTGTGTGCGCGTGTGATTTACTGAAACTCTTTTCATTCCCATCTCTCCCTCCTCCCTTCCCCAATTCAGGTTTCTTGAAGTCCAGAAGCCCAGGCTCTATAAGATGCTTCGCGTCCTCGCCTTTGCCTATCCCTATATCTGGGACTCCGTCCCCATCTTCTACAGGGTAAGGGCCCGGTTCCTCTGCTTGTTGGCAACGTCAGGGAATCATTTGTTTCCTGAGCTCCTGGGGGTCAGCACCACGCTGGTCACTGTAGGACACGTGGGAGTTGAGACCACGTGCTCCCTTACTGGCACTCGCAGAGTAGTGAGGAGACGGCATGAACACAGAGGTCCTGACAAACCGTAGGAGATGCTCCAGTGGCCAGCACTGACTGGGGGCTCAGGAGCAATCAGGGAGGGCTGCAGGGAAGCAGCCTGGGGTTTAGTAGAGTGACCAGGAGAGCTGGCTCTGGAGGCAAATCTCTAATACTTACTTGCTGCAAGCCTTTGGGCAAGTTATCTACCATCTCTATGCTTTGCTTTCTCTCATCTGTAAAATGGGCATGGTAATAACACCTCCTTTCATCAGGTTGTGGGGAGGATTACCTGAGATAACATGTAAAGTGCTGGCTGGTGCCGAGAGTCCAATAAATGCATTATTATATATTATCATCAATTAACGGATTATTAGTAGTGAAGGAAAAAGCATGAATGACGGTCTTAAAGGAGAGATTGGAGTTAGATGGAGAACACAAAGGAAGAGGGTGTAGATGAGAAGACAGGAAGGGGGAAAGTCCATGTACTCTCAAATCAGATGGACCTGAGTTCAAATCCCAGTCCCACTGCTCACTGGCTATGTGACCTTAGGCAATGCATATAACTTCTCTGAGCCTCAGTTTCCTCATCTGTAAATGAGGCTAACATAACCTCCTTCACAGGGGGGTAAAGGGGATTAATGAAATCAACAGATCAATGCCTGGCACATGGCTCCACCAGCTGGGGCATTGAGCACGTGCTCTGTGCTCCACCTATGTGGTCCTGGGGGAGACCCAGAGATGGGTCTTCCCCGACTCCTTCCTCAAGGACACAGACCACGCACAGGAAACCAGAACAGAGAGAATAAGCCGGTCCGATGTGCTACCAAATCATGCAGCACAGATTCTGCATTATTACGAGTGCTGTGTGCTCCTGATGCCTGGCTGCATCAGCCATTGGGCAGTGCCAGGGGGCGGGGCGGTCTTATCCTAAATGGAGATGTTGATGAGCACACAGGTTCTGGAATCAGCCTGCTGGGATCCAGATCCTGACTTCACTACTAATTAGTGGTTTGCATTCACCATCCTGCCCAGCTTCCTCATCTGCAAAATGGGGGCAGTAGAGTCTGCCTTATGACAGTTGTTGAGGCTCCGACAAATGATGCAATAAAGACCTGGCCTAGTGCCCTTGGTAAGTGGTGGCTGCTGGTGTTATTTACAACAATAATACGAAAACTATACTGAACTCCAAAACAGTATAATGGCTGTAATTAATACTTTTCGATGACTCTGAAGGCCTTCCAGGGATTTCTAGGCCTTAAAGCCTTTATTAGGAGCATCAGTTCAGTGGATGTGCTGGTTAGAAGTGAGTTCAAGTGTGAATAGACCACTTTTTTGACCTTTTTTTTTTTTTTGTGAGGAAGATCAGCCCTGAGCTAACATCCGTGCTAATCCTCCCCTTTTTGCTGAGGAAGACCGGCTCTGAGCTA